TTCTTTTCAATATTTTCTTTGCGTTAAATTCAGTTATAAAACTGCAAATTTGCTAAAAAGTATGTATATATATTATTTTATTCAAAACTAAATGTAATGTAAGAAATCGGACACGTCAAAGACACAAAAAGCAATTACTTGTGGGTCTGACACTGACAAGAATACTAATCAATCAACACCTATGTTTGCTCTATTTTCCAATTCGTACAATACTAAATACACAATTGAAATCTATGAAACGAGATTTTTCACACAAAGTGCGAATAATTCCACGGATCTATTTTGCCACACTCGCCACAAGAGCCGTCAACGTGTCACGCGCGAATAGAACCGCGACGCTATGTCTAATTGAATTCATATTTTCATTTGAGTGAGATTTAACTGGAACTTTGCTTTGTTTGTTTTTTGTTTAAAACAGATTTTTGGATGAAATACTATATTCAGAAAATGCAGTGGATTCAGCGTGCGACTCTCATCCCTGAGGTCGTAGATTCGATCCCCGGCTGTGCTCCAATGGATTTTCTGTCTATGTGCGCATTTAACATTCGCTCGAACGGTGAAGGAAAACAGCGTGAGGAAACCGGCTTGCTTTGGACCCAAAAAGTTGACGACGTGTGTCAGGTACAGGAGGCTGATCACCTACTTGCCTAGATACAGAAATCTTAGACCCAGACCTAAAAAGGTTGTAGCGCCACTGATTTATTTTATTTGTATATTTCGAAAATGAATCTTTGATTATTTATTTGAGCAAAAAGTTATTAATGAGCTGAGAAATATCATTATGGAATTTTCTAAATTTTTATACCAAAATCTATAAAATCTGGTTAAACTTTTCAAGTAGCTAGGCAACAAGGTACCTTTGCATTTTTATAAGAATTTAGCCGTGAAATATGTTAATAAAAAGTTAAATAATATTCACGTGTTGACGTGAAAAATATATGTAACCACAATATTCAGATCACTTGTATATTAAGCAAATACTTTTTGCATTTTATAGGTTTCCTTTTAAAATTAATTTAAGAAAACCAATTTCTATTTCAATAGCATGACTATAAACGTGCACGAGCGCACTTGCGTTTTCATAGTTTTCTTCAAATAACTACAACCCCGTATTGCAGATGGGAAATACCTTTATTTCTATAGGTAAACATTCGTATGATAATGTTTTGATGTTCTTATTCAGAGGGATTTACATAAATTTACCATAGAAGCCTTTCACTGTATATAACTTAATTGAGTTCTAAAGTAATCTGAAGTCAATTTTAGATTTTCTGGAACGGTGTTGGTACGGAGGCACGACCATTTGTTTTTTTTACTACATTAGTTAAATATCTATATTTTTTATCGTCTATGTAAATGGTTTATGTGGGACAATAAATTATATTGGGCTTATTCGTTAAATATATTACTAAACTTAGTTCTTACTTTGACAAGTCAGATATTCCAATAATAAATAGTTTACCTTTACGTCTCTTGTTGTTGTACAATTTGTTTAAAGTACAATTAGCTGACTAAGAAATAACTCCCTTAATTGTTTTGTTATTCGATTAAATTCTATTCTGAATTTGACTCTAATTGAAACAACCTACTCTATAACCTCATCGAATCTTCAATCAATATAGAGCTTTTTTATGTTTTTCTAACTACTAACTTTCTGAACTATTTCCTTTCACGATTGGATTGGAGCATAATTCAAGAGAATGAATTAGTAAGTATTCGTTCGATGTGATTTTTATTGATATAGGAATTGATACTGTCCAAAGTAGGGGTTTTTTACTATATTGACAGTACAACCGTTTTATATACCTAATTTAATTTAAGTCATATATAACCTTGCCTTTTTCAAAACTTTCAAATTATTGTCGAACCAAGCGGTATGCTTGGTTCCTATTAAAAACTTTCAAACGAACATATTGTGTTGCTATTAAAGAGAGGTCGTAAATAACTGTATCAATATCGGTCGTAAAAGCTTTTAAAGTGATTTTTGTCATCGTTATAGTGTCCCTTCGATTACTTACATTCCATTTTTAATTATAACCCAAATCTTTTTATACTATGCGTCATATCCTTGCAATATTTGTCTTACTTTCAATAGATATAGTCTACAAAGTGTCTTACACACGACGCCGTGTCTAAGACATGCTGATTTACTTAGATGTTTTAATTACGCAAATATCTACTTGCGTAATTAAGTGAGTATTGCTATTATTGCTATATGGTAATAGCGATAGCAATACTCACTTCGGCCGTCACAGCAACGATATTTACGTCAAAGTCAATGCATACGACTTCTTTAGTTTTTTTTTTTTTTCATTTTATTTAGCCTTGCCAACAAGGCCTCTCATAATAAATAATTTAATTTTAACTTTTCAATTAAAAATAGACCTTTAAAACTGTGGTATGCAAACGCGTTGAATTCCGCAAAGCGTGTTTACTTTTAATCATTTTGTTATATAGAACGAAAATAATGTTAAGTTAAAACTAGTTTCTACTCTAGGCACACTATTATTCTAATGTGTTTTGAAAGTTATCCTAAGCTGTGGTTCGGAAAGGGTTACAAACAACAAACACATAAATCACTCCGAACTAACAAAATCTACATAGATCTTCGTTAACATGTGGTAATAGTACCAATAGTGCCATACTTAAAATACTTTATAATATACTTTAATTAATCATTCTTTAATAAATATGTATATAAATTTGTCCAGCAAAACAAAACCTGATCTAGTACGACTCTTAATGCCAGAGTGCTCGAGAGTGCGTTGCCAACCTTTTAAGAATTGGTACTCTTTTCTTGAAAGACCCTAAGTCGAATTGATTCGAAAATCCATCAGTGGGCAGCTGGTTCCACATAACAGTGGTGCGCGGAAAAAACTGCCTTAACGTCGGGGTGATACGGATGGTATTTTGTATTCTGCCTTGACGTCCGATAATGAAACTCAGCTGCAGGTATTAAACCGAACAACTCCTCTGAACACTCCCCATTGTAAATGTGGTAGAAGATCCAGAGTGACCCCACATCACCTTAAAAAACACTCTCTCCCAGAGGAAGATTTAGATCAGAATCTAAAGAGAGGACCCTCCACTAGTCAAACTATAGAATGGCCGGCCCAAAGGCCCCAGTGAGGCGAATATATATAGGAGGTGTATATATAAAAGCGATCGGAGTAACTTTGTTAGCGCCCTTCAGGGTCCTCGTGATTTCTAGCCGAAGATTGTCGGTAGGATCGCAACGCATTTTAATTTTTGTCCTCATCACTCTCGTATCACTATTAAAGTTCATAAATGTGCGAAACCTTATACGATTAGAATAAAACCTTTTAAGAGCCTATCATATGCCATTCTTTGTTATTAAAGATATTTGTAATGTTTTGACGAATTGAATAATAAACGCAATACGTTTTTAGTTCAAATAAATTCTAACAGATCTTATTATATCAATTCAACAGTTTAGTTATATGAGTTCAAATGTCTAAGTCTAAAAAAACAGTGGCTACATTTAAACAAACAAATTTAGGTCTAGCCTTATCTTTCTGTATCTGTTTCGAGATCATTTATTTTTCTTAATAGACAATTTGTTGATCAGATCTCTGAGGCAACATTTTCACAGTCATTTTCTGTCGATGTTTTCCTTCACCGTACAAGCAAGTGTTAAATGTGCTTATAGACAGAAATTCCATTGGTATAGCCGGGGCTCGAACCTATGACCTCAGAAATGATAGCCGCACGCTTATAAAACTTTATATGAAATTAAACGCGTATAAATGTAACAAAGAAATATTCTCGTACATATTTCTCATGAGCAAACTACAAAATGCCACTTTGACATTCAAGTCAAAGACAAACTAGGTTGTAGCAATCCACGTGCAGATATAAATGCCGTTTGTAATTTCATTACTAGTCTCATTACTTATGCATTGCTGCCGTGTTAGAACGTACGAATTGAGGACTTTTTAATAATTAACTTTTTCAGATTTGCACGGGAAACTTCTATGATGAAAACAGGTAATGTCACTTATTATTTTGTGAGTAAAATTAGCATTTGATCTCATCTTAGTAATATTAGAATTTTAAGAAATTTATGTCTAATCGACAAGCTAGTGAAGCCACCCAAGGCAGGAGAGTTCTTTGTATAAGAAAATCTTATTATTGAGAATGCCAATACCTTCCATAAAGATAAACAACTCCAGGTAATGACACCTTGGACAACGAAGATTGAGGCGATAAGCCATTAGGTATAATGGGGTATCATTAATGGAGCATTGTTGCAATGACACCAGCGACCATCGGCATCCTACCCCGTAGACGTCGCATCTTTAGTATATAAACAGAAGACTCACGACAAGAATTCATTCGCATCACCCATAGCACTAAGCTCTAGTTTAATTTAAGTCATTTTGTATATTTTGTAGTAAAAAAGTGTTATCTTTTAATAAAGGTTTTTGAAGTGAAACTTCTTTAGGCGCATGAGGGTAAATTTTTACGGAAACGTCACGAAGATGTGCAGCGTTTTTGTCGAAGAAAAGGGAGATTGAGACCGATTGAGAAAGAGTGAGAAGGGCGGAATACCTGATAGAAATTCTATTTTTAAAATTAAAATTTCGTAAAGAGAATTTATTTCACACTTCCGGTTTGAGTATCGCAACAGTAACACGTACGTCAGTGATCTCCGCTATATTAATTGTTCTCTTGTGCTATTAAGAATCTACCAAGTGACTATAAAACAAAAAACAGTCCAACAACTAAAAAGGATCGTAACAAGATTAAATACATAGTGTGAATAACGCAGTTCAACCAGAAAAGTGTAAAACAATACTTGCTAATACTATAACCTAAAAAGTGCAATGCAATGTAAATAGACTTGGTACCAACATAATACAAGTCACAACCCGGTACCAACATACAAAACAGAAAGACCTACCAACATAATAACAAACTTTCATAGACACTGACGATCAGAGGGTTGCCAGTGCACGAAAACAAAAAAGTACCGCAACATGGACAATTTAGAGATGATGCAGTTGCTATTTTCGAAGCTTGACGAAAAATTAAAACAACAAACTTTAACCATAACAACATCAGTCACTAAGAACGTTTTGGAAGCAATGGATGAGAAAATAAAAACAATGATGGAAGAAAACACTATGCTCAAATCAAAGGTAAACGAACTGGAACAAAAACTTGATAATGCCGAAAATGAAAAGCGTAAATGCAACCTAATCTTTTTGGACTCGAAGAGCTAGGAAAAACAGAATGTGAGCTCGTAGACTACATAAAAGAGATAATAATAGACACAGGTGTCCACATGGAAAGTCAAGAAATCAGTAATGTATATAGGATTGGACGTCGTACTAGTAACAAAAACCGACCAGTAGTGGTATCTTTCACAACACTGTGGAAAAAACATACAATAATGAAATGCAAATCAAACCTTCCATCAGGTATTTACATCAAAGAAGATTTCCCCAAAAAAGTATTGGAAATACGCAAACAGCTCCAGCCACAGGTCGAGGAAGAGAAGAAAAAAGGAAATATCGCATTCCTGAGATACGACAAAATAATAATTAAAGCACCATCGCAACAAGACAAAAACCGTGATAAAAGAAAAGAGAGGAGTCTAATTCACCAATCCCGTCAACACAGAAAAAATCCAACCTAGAAAAGCCGAAAAGTGGAGCAACTAAAGAAATCCGGAAACCTGGCATACTTAACTATGTTGAACGCGGACGATCAGCGTCAATATCAGAACCCTCAAAAAACTAACAACCCGCGCTGATACTCATAACCAAAACCAAAACAAACAATCAAAGACAACCAACTTCCCACAAAATTCATTTCCACGTCTCCCAACACGGCTGGTCCCCGCGGGAGCACTAGACCAAAACCCTCCAGCTAAAAGATGTGAAACATTCAAAATTGGAACACTTAACACAAAAACCTTTCCAAGACGGTTGGTCACCGCGGAAGAGTATGACCACAACCCTCCACAAGGCTATGAGGATAAAACTCAATTAAAAAACAATATTATTTACATCTGTACGTACAACGTTAGATCGCTGCTCGCAGAAAATAGATTACCAGAATTAGATCAAGTGCTAGATAAAATAAAATATGATATTATTGGATTATCGGAAGTAAAAATTGAAGGCATAAAAATAGAACAATATAGAAACTATATCTTAATGTATAGAGGAGACAAAAGTGGGTCAAATGGAGTAGGATTTATCGTCAATAGTAACTTAAAAAAGAACATTATAGATTTCACAACTTACTCAGACAGAGTCGTAAGATTAGACATTCAGTGTGACACAACTGTGTTAAACATAATACAAGCTTACGCACCTATCGAAAGAGCTAAAGAAGAAGCGGTGGAACGATTTTACAACCAAGTCACTCAAGCTCTCTCAAACACTGGGAAACACGTCATTATACTAGGGGACTTCAATTCAAAAATTGGGCTTCCTCTACCTGAAGAACACAAGATCTGTGGGCAATATGGATATGGAGAAAGAAATGAAAGAGGGGAAAGACTACTACAATTCTGTTATACAAACAAGTTCGTTATATCTAATACCATATTTAAGAAACCTCAAAAACGGAAATGGACATGGCTATCACCCAATGGCAAAACTAAAAACGAGATAGATTTCATATTGATTAAAGATAAAAGATTCATAACAAATTTTGAAATTCTCTCTCCAAAATTCCCGTCTGATCACAGAATGCTGAGAATATCCTACAAATTACAACAAACAAAGAAAAAACGTAAATTTCTTCGAACTAAGAATAAAACGTTTCTACCTATAGAATCAAATGTGATGGGAATGATAGTAACAAGAGAACTAGCTGGAAATCCTACAACTGAAAATATAAATAACCACTATAAAACTATAGTGTCTGCAATACAAAAAAGCACTTCGTACTTACCAACAAATGCGATAAAAAAAGACCAAGATTGCAACACTATAAACAATAATATCCTAAAATTAATAAATGAAAGAGAAAAACTTAAGAACACATGGCCACGCTCAGACATAGAGAAAAAAAGGCTAAAGAAACTTTATAGAAAAATAAAGAAAAAAATAATTGAAAGGAAAAATAAAATAAAAATGAAATTGATTGAAAGTGAATTGGAAACAAGAGGCTCTACTAAAAACAGCCAGAAAAGCTACAAAAAAGAATGGATGCACTCAATAAAAACAAAATCAGGAGAAACTATAACAAATCGACAAAGCATCCTTCTATCAGCTACTGACTTTTATAAAAAATTATATTCGGAAAACCAACAAACGAACCCAGTCGACTTAAATATAAACCAGATACACGATCAAGAACAGGTCCCTTGCTTTTTACTAGACGAAGTCGAAAGCGCTATCTCAAGAATGAAGAAAAATAAATCACCCGGCGAAGATGGCATCACCACAGACATGTTAATAGCAACGGCAGAACAATGGGCACCACACCTGACTAATATTTTTAATAAAATACTTGAAAGAGAAAAAAATACCCGATCATTGGACACATTCAATAATAACACTCATATACAAGAAAGGAGACTCCAAACTAATAGATAATTACCGCCCAATCAGCTTACTACCAACTTTATACAAACTTTTCTCATCACTCTTACTCTTCCGAATCAGTAAAAGCTTAGACGAACAGCAACCACGAGAGCAAGCCGGATTTAGGAAAGGATTTTCAACTGTTGACCATATCTTTACATTGACACAGTGCATTGAAAAGTGCAGAGAATATAACAAACCTATCTACTTGGCATTCGTTGATTATACTAAAGCGTTTGATTCGATTTTACAAACACATTTATGGAAAGCATTAAAAGAACAAGGAATAAATAATAAAATTATTAGAATATTAAAACTTATATATGACGACTATAACGCCAAAATAAAACTAGAGAGTTATGGGCCACTATTTCGAATTAAACGTGGAGTCAAACAAGGCGACCCTATCTCACCAAAACTTTTTACAGCTCTATTAGAATCAATGTTCAGGAAACTACATTGGGCAAATTGTGGACTTAACATAAATGGAGAATTCCTGTCACATCTACGCTTTGCCGATGACATAGTAATACTGTCAAATACTCATGAAAACCTACAAATCATGCTTTCAACACTAAACACTGTAAGTAAAAATATAGGCTTACAAATGAACATGACAAAAACCAAAATTATGACCAATGACGACCGCATAATTACAACAATAGAGTCATGTGTAATAGAGTATGTAAATGAATACATTTATTTAGGCCAACTCATTTCCCTGGACGATCTCACAGAAAAAGAGCTAAGTCGACGAATCGCCATCTCATGGAAAAAATTCTGGGCAAACAAAGATATATTCAAAAACAAAAAAATACCAATTCACTTAAAGAAAAAACTGTATGACAGCACGATTCTACCATGCCTATTATACGGCTGCCAGACATGGTCTCTAACAAAAAAACAAATAAAAAAAACTGTCAGTATTCCAAAGAGCAACAGAGAGATCGATGCTGGGTGTAAGACTAAGTGATAGAGTAAAAAATATAGAGATCCGGAAACAAACCAACTTAATAGATGCTGCCGAAATGTACTGCAAACTCAAATGGAAATGGGCAGGACACATAACAAGAGTAAATGACGGAAGATGGAGTGAACGCGTACTTCATTGGTATCCCAGAGACGGCCGAAGGAACAAAGGTCATCCCGTTATGAGATGGAGAGATGAGATACATGACATGGCCGGCAACACCTGGACAAGGGACGCTCAGAACCGACACAGATGGCAAAATATGGAGGAGGCCTTTACCCATAACCGGGTACCCAACTAAATAAACAATTAGTTATTTAATATACTATTAAATATAATACTAACAATAAATTAAGAAAACTAAATACTAACACAGCTAAAGTAATGTTATTTAAGGTTGGCAATAAAAGGCTTTTGAATTTGAATTGAATTGAATTGAAAGAGAATTTATGAAATATTAGTATTTTATATTTTATGCAAAATAATTTATTGAAATCTCACATGACGAATTGTAAATTTAGTTTGCTAAAGAAGTTTCACTTCTGACATGTGTACTTTGTACGCACGCACTTTTTTAATTTCTTACTAGCTGAAATATTTTAAAAAATTAGGTCTGAACACGATTTCTAAATACTTGAAATATTAAAAACCATAATTGTACGCATGGGTATAATACTCGTAGGTTGCGGCCGATAATGCTGGCAAGAAGAAGTTGTCCCATCGGTGATTCCCCTTTCCTCCCGCAGCGCTGTTGAGTGTGGACGTGTGTCACGAGTCAGAGCAAATTTTGTTTAATTAAATTTGTCTTTAAAAATTGCGATTGGCGGTGGTTGCGTGCATTTTTGATTCCTATTTGATGTGAGTCGAATATAAGTGGTTTCGGTTCGTGTAGTGAATGAATGGACTTTCTTGTGACGTCGGGTGCTAGGATTTGATCCCGCTCCGCCTCGTGGCGCGCTTGTGTGAGGCGGTCGGTTGCGCGACACGCCACGGTACGATACCGGTAACAGGCGAAATCAGTTATTGAATGCAGCGGGCGGTCTGCTACGCCAATTAAGCGCTACGAGTTAAGCGACGCTCCCCCCGCCTGCCGTATTTACTACAAGTGCATCGGAACTAAGCGCTACGCTGTTGTTAGTACTGCTTAGACAACAATTCACCACAATACTTTTTTATGATTGTTGAGTTGAATACATAGATTACGCGTATAGTGGATAGGGATTGATAGTATTGATGTCGAAGAAAATGCAGAGAACTCCTCCTGGTAAGTCATCGTCTGAGGCGGATATAAATAAGACATTTTTGGATGAGGGTGAGAAGATAAGAAATTCTAAACGGCTACGTTCTTCTAATTCACCTCGCCTTGACAGTTTGCTTACGCCCAATCCTTCCGAATTAACATCCTTCAAGCAAGACCTCATGACCATGCTTAACTCCTGGAAAGACGATCAGGACAGAAGACTGACTGTTTGGAAAACGGAACAGGATGCCACTTTGACCGGGCTTGCCAGGGATGTACTATCCCTCAAGGCAGATATAGCGGTTCTTCAAAAATCTTCCCTTGAAATTGACTCGGGTCTATCTTTTATTAATAAAATGTACGAAGACGCGAATGTAAGGGTTGTCGCCTTAGAGACTGCGAAGAAAGAATATCAGGACTGCATTCGCAAGCTTGAAAAGCGAATAGATGATTTTCAACAACAGTCCCGACCTTCAACTTTGGAAATAAGGAATGTCCCAACTAGGCAAGATGAGAATCCAACTGACCTCTCAGAGTGATCTTACAGAAAATTGGTAATGTGGCAGGCCTCAATCTTCAAAATAACACCTTACGGGATATATACCGGTTACCAGGTAAAGTTGAAAAGGATAGACCCATTGTGGTGGAATTTCATTCAGTTGCGGTCAGAAATGATTTTCTAGCCCATGTACGGCAATTCAACAAAAAACGTCCTGTACCCGAGAAGTTAAATACCCAAACCATTGGAATTGATGGTAAATGTGTACCAATATATGTAGATGATCATTTGCCACCAGCCATGAAGAAACTTTTCTATGATGTTCGTCAATATTGTAAGTCAAGAAAATTTATTTGTTGGCAAGCAAATGGTAGAATTTTAGTCAAGAAGACACAAGAAGAAAAAGCTGTACAAATACGGTCCGATCATTGTCTCCTCAGTCTGAAGAAGGAACAACAGGAGGCGTGACTAACTGAAAGTTATAATACCTTTTACTTTTTATTTCTAATCAATAATTTAGTTAGTTACTTAGCACAAACATTTATCCTACACCCCATTCACACGCATTCACAATATATATCTAGCCCTGGCACTTATCGTAATTTCTATCTACTTCGTCATGCAAACTTACGTACGCACATACACAGTTACTCATTCATTGTTCTAAATGGTTTTTGTTTTTACATGATAAATACCGTAATGTTACTAGTTCTATGCCTATTTAAGTCTATAAGTATCAAATATTTTTGTCGTATTAAGGAAAATAAAAGGAAAAAAATAATTAACAAAACAAAAGACATTGCACAGCGCCCTAAAACTTTAATTAAAATTCGATAATTTGCAATTACAAATCAGTATTGATTCTTTTTCTAATTCTGACTCTTCCGAATGTAATATTGAGGACGTTCATAGTTTAATTCACAACCCAAATCATTTTACAAAAATCTTAAATCAGAATATTCGTGGTATATCAGCAAACTTTGCAGGTTTGCAAACTTTGATAGTTAGGTCTCGCACAAGTTGGGATGTCATTATACTGACTGAATGTCGGATAAAGGACAACAATATCTTACCGACACTACACGGTTATAACTGTTTTCATACTACTACAAACCTACTACAAAACGATGGCGTGGTAATGTACATCAAGGACTACATCCCTACCCGTATAGAGGAACCGGTGTTCATGGATGCTAATTGCTTGGTAGCTAAAATTGACTCAAATGTAATTATTATTGGTATATACCGTTCTCCATCATATATCAATAAATCAAATTTTATATCATCACTAAATATTTTACTCACAAGATACACGAGCTATAAGACAATTATATTAACAGGTGATATAAATATTATAATTAATAGAGAAATAGTAAAAGATGATGTCAGAGACTATTTAAACCTAGCAGCCTATCACGGGTTGCTCCCCACCCACACATTTGCCACACGAGTAGATAACTGCCTCGATCATGTCCTTTTGAAAACTAAGGTCCAAACTCACACATTTGTTGCCCAAACATCACTGACTGATCATAAAACCGTTTTACTATTTCTTAAGTCTAAATTAAACCATGATTGTATTGTGAATAGGTCGTTAACTAAAATAGACCACGAGGGCCTCGCATTTAGCCTTTATAATATGGATCTAAGTCCTCTCTTCAATTCGTGTGATGTCAATTTTGCTGCGAGCTTTTTGATGGCATCTATTACTGAAGCCATCAAGTCGAACTCGAGGCAGATTAGTCCCTCGAAAAGAAGAATGATTATCAAACCCTGGATTACCCCCGGTCTTTTGAAGTGCATGCGCAACAGGGACAACTTGCACAAAAAGGCAAAAAAATATCCCGATAATGAGATTATAATTACCACATATAAACGTTACCGTAATTTCTGCAACAATTTGTTAAAAAAACTAAAACGGAACTATGAAAGTAATCAACTTAATGCAGCTAAACACAATCCAAAATTACTTTGGAAAACAATTGACACCATAACAAATAGACAAAGATCGCAAGCAACTCCAAATGAGTTGCTAAAAAATTACTCCAATAATTTGGCAGCGGTCAATGATATCAATAAATTTTTCGTAGGAGTTGGCAAGAATCTGGCGGAAAATATAATACAAAAGAACTGTTCTACTGTTGTTGAATGTAGTTTTGGAGGTAATACTAGTCATAATTCTCTAGTATTGCTAGCCACTGATGAGTGTGAGGTGGAAAGACACGTTATAGCCCTCAAGAGCGATGCCACAGGACGTGACGGTATTGGCGCTAATATCCTAAGGTCATATAAATCAATTATTGTGCCCCCTCTCACACATATATGTAATTTGGCTCTCAGCAATGGTACTTTTCCATCTGCTTTTAAACAAGCCTTAATAATACCAGTTTATAAAGGAGGTCTGGCTAGAGACCGTGTCAACAGTTATAGACCGATATCCATCCTACCTGCAATGTCTAAGGTTTTGGAAAAATTAATGAATAACAGGCTTATTAAATTCCTAGAGGTGAATAATCTTCTATCCACTTCCCAGTACGGTTTCGGATGCGGTTCATGCCCTCACCGACTACGTTATTAGGAACCTAGAAGGGGGCAGGAAGTGCATAGCTATATTCCTGGACCTAGCTAAGGCGTTTGACACGGTCTCTATCGAAATTCTAATAAAAAAACTTGAGCACATTGGTGTTAGAGGGGCCCAATTGCGACTATTCGGTGACTATTTGAGCAACAGAACCAAGGCCACAAAGATTGGGGATAGTGTGAGTGAGGACCTTCCTGTTCGCAGGGCAGCGTATTGGGTCCTACCCTGTTTTTAGTGTATATTAATCAGCTATGCAACCTACAGCTAACCAATGGATCCATCGTTACCTTTGCGGATGACACGGCTTTATTATTTAATGCACCGACTTGGGGGGAGGTTTTCGCTCACGCTCAATCTGGCTTGGATAGTGTGACTGATTGGCTTGGCGACAACGTCTTAACGCTCAATGCAGCCAAAACTAAATACATGGCATTCACAAAACGAGGGTGCCACCCACAACATCAGTGGACAATCGTGACTCATTGCTGCCCCCGTCCGCGACGATTGGATGGTTTGTGCGACTGCCCTCGGCTGCAAAATGTTAGCACAATAATGTACCTTGGCGTACTTATAGACCACAATCTTAGCTTTAATGGTCACATTGAATTGCTTTCGGGGCGTTTGCGCAAGCTAATGTATGTATTCAGGAGCCTGCGTGGGGTTGCTGACTCCACTACCATTAGAATGGTGTACGAGTCGCTTAACGCTTTGCCAATCACTGCTAATTTACTGTGTAGTGGTATGGGGAGGCACCTATAAAACCTCACTCCTGAAACTTGAGCGAGCCCAACGAGCAGTTCTTAAAACCTCATTGTCTCTTCCCTTTCGGTTCCCTACTGAGGAACTATATAAAATCAGTTCTGTACTTACAGTTCGACAGCTGTTTATCTTAGACACTGTCCTTAAGCAACATTCGCTGTTATTCTTCGATACCGCTGAATTGGACAAACGTCGCAAATATAGCGTTTGTGCAACCCCATT